CTCTCTTTTCTGTCTCTGTCTCTCTTTTATATATTTCTTTACAAGTGTGTGTCTTGTGTGTGTGGTCTGTTGCTGAAGTGGTGTTCCCCTGTAGTTCGCTCTTAACTAAAGTACCATTGTGACGGACCCAGAATCTCGGCCAGGAACTCTGCATGTGTGTGTGTGTGTGTGTGTGTGTGTGTGTGTGTGTGTGTTGCTTTGTCTTTCAGTGTCCCTGATTCCTGGATGGTGTAAACCATGAAGCTCATTCCTAGGGAATGTGTGAACCTCTTCTCCCTGCCACACACTTTGCAGGATGTTTTTCCAATATTACCTGAGATGAACAGGCAGCATGTTGTAGTGGTGGCAAGGTGACGGTTTGTGAAGCATTGAGGATTTCTATGCCATTGGTTCACTCAAGGGCCAAAAGTGTGTAGTCCTTCATTCGCTCCACTGTGCCATCAAGTGCACATTGAATGTACAACAGGCAGAGTGATTATAATGACGTCATGGCAATCAGGAACTTATTATTATGGTGTCTCTCTTTGAATTAGAAGTGCGGGGTCAAGCGGGAAAGTGGAAACAATTTGGGGAGAGCGTTGTGATGTGAATATGCTTGTGTTAGTAGGAAAACATTTCATTTATTTTTATCCACTGCGTTTCGCTGCTCCTTTTTATATTTTGATTCGCATGCAAAACCCCTCAACCATTTCCTGAATCCGTCACATGGTACCGGCTTTCAAGCCTTCAAACATCCTCACATGAGGTCGACAACACAAGCCTCGATATGCGCTTCGCAGAAATTGTCCTGGGTTACTCAAAACACTCAACACTGATTGACACATCACTAGAATGTTGGCCTGCCAGTATTCCCTTTGTGGTGACGACAGGTCTGGGGATTCCTGTTTTTTTCTTGCTTGTATGGAAACTCGCGTAGGCGTTAAAGTTGTTCTTCTGACATTATGCGATTGTGCGTCTTTGGGTGAGGGGTGAGATGCCTTTTTCTGGCGAACCAGACTGGTGTGTGTGTGTGTGTACATATATATATATATACACACACACACTATATATTAGGGCTGTCAATAGATAAAATAAATCAATAAAAATTAACTAATTAATCGCACATTTTGAACACATTAGAAGGAAACAGAGCGGCTGCACGTAAACTTGGCATTAATGAATATATGGTGAGACGTTGGATGTTGAGATGGAAGTAGCCTAGCACCTAGCTTAGACCAGGGGTCTTCAATGTTTTTTAGGCCAAGGTCCCCCAAAGTGATGGCTAGATGGATCAGGGACCCCCCATTCTACGGAGTTTGGTCCGGCATTTTTTATTTTTGACCTTCGTGCTCTTTAGACGTGAGCATAACGCGATCTGATTGGCTGGTACCTTTGCTGTCGTATTTGCATGAAAGGAGCTGTGAGTGAACCGGTGCCCAGCGTGAGAGAGCTGCTATGGGAAGCTGAATGTGTGCGTTGAGGACTGAAAGACAACGTCTTCTCCATTAATTTATCCGTCAGCTACAATATGTTGGATTCATGTTAATGTGTATTTAAAGACAATAAATACAATTCTTATTCGGAAGACGTTTCATTTTGTGGAAAAAAAACCAAAACCAAAACTTTCAGGACCCCCCTGCAGTACCTCCGCCGACCTGAAGAAGAAGTTGAAGACCTCTGGCTTAGACTAGCAGCAAGCTTAGCCTAGCAGTGCTTTAAGTGGTCCGTTTACATTACATTACATGTCATTTAGCTGACGCTTTTATCCAAAGCGACTTACAATAAGCGTATTTCAACCATAAGGATACGAACTCACCCCCCTTGTGTTTGCACAGTTCTCCGCTGTATGTCGCGCCTGTTTGTTTTACTTCCAATGCAAAAAGCTCTCTCCATCTTGATGTAACCGACTGCAGCTAGCGACCGTTTTGTTTCCACGGTAAACAAACGTACGTTATCTATGCTAAAATATTTTGTTGCATTAATCTGGGCCACATTAATCGCATAGATTAACGCGTTTGTGTTGACAGCCCTAATACATACCGTAAATTCCGGACTATAAGCCGCTACTTTTTTCCCACCTTTGAACCCTGCGGCTTATACAACGGTGCGGCTAGAGATAATAAGCCGGGGAAGACATTCGATTGTGTTTAGAACAGCAATGTTGCACATCATTTAATTAAACAATCGTCATGGAAAATACATGTAGGAATGCATATGATGCAGCATTTATGTTACGGGCAACCAACCTGTCTGTCGGAGAAGGAAACAGAGCGGCTGCACATAAACTTGCCATTAATGAATATATGGTGAGACGTTGGAGACGGCAATGTGAAGAACTCGCTCGATTTAAAAACACAACAAAAGTTTTCAGAAGAAATAAAAGCAGATGGCCCGAACTTGGCCGAGGGGTTTCCACCGTGTTACAGTGAGGTAATGTGATCTAGCACAAAAAAAATGACTTTTTGGTCTGTAAACACTGTGGTTTTCTTTTGAATCTCAGTCTAAGGAAACACCTTCAGTGCAGTTACACAATGACATTATTCATTTTTAATGTCCACTTTTTATCCATTCCTTACATTTTCTCACTCCTCTGCACCGAGCCAGTTGCTAAGATACACAAGGTCATTTATTTATATTTATATTATTTCCTTTGTTCTCCAGCGGTATTCAGTGTTGCTCTGGTGTTTCTCAACCTTAAGAAACCTTTGTACGATGGGGGCTTTGGACAAGGAAATAATCTTTCCTAACATTTCGGAGAACACGCATTGGAACAGAACCAGTACTCTGGTCTGTAGAGGAAACAGAGATTTCTTTTATTCATATAAATTCATTTTAAATAATCCATTACAATTGGTAGTGTTGATGTAGCATTCCTCAAAACAGGTAGGCCTTTAAAATCAGAAAATCATTTTCACAATTATTAATAATTTACTTACAAAACAATGAACAAAAACTGCCATGAACTTCCCTCTTTGAAAAACAGCAAATTAACCATTTAAACTTTAAACATAGAAACAAGTCTGAGGTAATTAGTCTTTTTATTTCTGTATACTCTGGTTTGGTCAAAACAATCCCTTAATTAAAAAGAGCTATATGTAAATATGCTACACGCTGCTGCTGCTGGTATAACGAGCCCGACGCTGTGTACTGAAAGTTGTGACAAACTTTTTAATTAGGTCTCGTAGAATTTCGCAAACTGGATTCAAAATTTGCAGCCTCAAATTTGTTCAGAAACAGATTTGGGCTCATTTGCTGAGGGGAAAAGTGACCGTTTGCTCGCGTGAGTCCCTTGTTTGGATGCAATGTGGGTGTTTTGAGAGCATGGAGCAAACACGCATTCTGCTAAATACGGAAATAAGTCCTTGGTATTTTAATCCGGGTGGGGCTGACAATCAAGCCTTCTCTAAACGGTGGCAGGCGGGCCTCGTTTCAGAGCCGTGAGTACTGACCTCATTCAATGGAACGATCAAAAACCAAAGAACGGAGAGAAATCAACAACATCCGCAGCCGAGGTCGCAGCTCTCCTTTACGCTTGGTCTTCTCTGCCGTCGCCGTGACTTCAAGAAGAAAGAGCAGGAGTCCACTGCGCTGGACTCCAGATCCACCAAAGCGGAGGAGTGGATGATGTATCCGATCGGAGTCCCATCAGAAATCTTGTAAGTTTGCTGTGCAGGTCATTTCCCACAAATGGACAAAAAAGAGACAAATGTTAAACGCTTATGGTTCACAAACGAGATGTGACAGATCGACAGCATCGTTTAGCAGAGCCAGACTTCCAGAAGGTGAATACGGTGTTTCAGTACAGACTGGATAAGATATATAATAACCCTTTTGTTAATATTAAATCATGAAGCGAGTTTTAAACCCCCAATCGAGCGTTGGTCTCCTTTCAAATTAAGTTTTTCCCCATGCTGCATATTTGAAAAAAAAAGGACTCCCTCCTTTTTTGGCCAAAAACTAGAGAGAAATGAAAGATGGAAGTGAGACAGACAGACTGACAGTGAGTTGGACCAGATTGAAAGCAGAATAGAACTGAGAGATTTAATATTTCAGATCCAATGCATTATTTATGTCTCAGATGAGTCGGCAGAAACTGCCAGCGTGCTCTTGGATGGAGAGTTTTTCATTCATGGGCATATGTGTGTGTGCGTGTGTGTGCGTGTGTGTGTGTATCTGCCCAAGTGTGTGTGTGATTTGGTAAAGCGGTGGATGAAAGACAAAGATGAAAGCAGCCGCCGAGAGGCTCTAACGGCCAGATTCATCTGTGGATGGTGAGAAGCTCTGAAGTTCCTTTAGCTTTCAGGTAGGCACCTCAGGTGGCCAAATGTGTGTGTGTGTGTGTGTGTGTGTGTGTGTGTGACATCTTAAGACGTAGAAGAAGAGGTAAAGTGATGCAGATGAGGGGCTTTTGGGGGCAACCACCTGCTAGCGGGAAAGTCATGTTACGACTTACATGCATACTCAGATGCCCCCCCCCTCCCCGGCGCCCACCCACCCCTCCTCACGCGTGGAGTCTACAATAAGATGGGCAGGTATAGGCTATATTGTGTGTCACTTATAAAAAAAAAATAAGTGGCACAGGTGTGAGGTCAGAGGTCAGAGGCTGCTAAGGAGAAGAAGCTCCGATTCCAAATATAAATAGTAAATTAGAGATTGAAATTCTAAACATAATCCTAATCCATCTGTGTTTATCTTTAGACTTTATTGTAATCTATATACACTTTTTTGAGAACGTGTTTTATTCACATATATATTAATTATTCATATATTTGTGTCTTTCTCGGCCTCTCACAGGTCTCCTACCTGCTGCACCGCATCTCCGTCCTCACATGCGCGCACGCGCCTTCATCACGCGCTGACACTACCTGTGCACGCGCACGTGTCATAACGTGTTTCTCTGCCATCACCTCGTCGCCCCCCCTCCCCCCCACTGTGCGCTCGCACCGCACGAGGGCCGGCAGAGGGAGGCAGAGCCCGCCCCCTCCCTCCCTCCCTCCCTCCCTCCCTCCCATTGGGCTGTGAGAGGAGCGCGAGCGCTGCGTGTTCCTGGCTTCGCCGTCGGCAAGTAGCGCGAGCGGGACCTTCGTTCCCGAGGCCGGCGAGGAGCACCGGGAGCCTCCCGCGGCGGGACTTCAGGCGCTCAGGTGACATCCGGAACGCGGCGCGCGAGACCCACCTGCTGGCGCGCGCGTCCGCGTCAGGAAGCCCATGGAGGGGCGTCACGATGCTGTGCTCGAGGAGAACCAAAACTTTGGTGTCGACCTGCGTGATCCTGAGCGGGATGACCAACATCGTGTGTCTGCTGTACGTGGGCTGGATCACCAACTACGTGACCACCGGGGGGCCCAAAGTGGCGGAGGGCGGCGGCGGCGGCGATGCGGGCAGAAAGTTGGAGGAGGACGGTAGAGGGGAGACGCTGCGGATCGTGGAGCGGCTGGACCGGCTGGAGAGCGTGGTCAACGAGCACATCAGAGGTCAGCGCGCCGCGGGGGGGGGCTGCACGTGGGAGGCTTCTCGCTGGAGGAGGCTTCCTGAAGAAATTCACTAATTATACTCAGTTGTTCGTCAAATCAGCTGTTGGTTGTGTTTAGATAATCAGATAAAAATTAACAGACAAAAATCGAGCCGAAATTCCAAATAGCTGCTGCTCTCAGCTGCACGCCGAAGGGTTTTCCTCAACTTTTTATTGTTGGAGAATGAATTAATTGTGACATGAAACGGTTGGTCATCTGCGGTGTGGAGAGGTGGGATTAATCCACAAACGGCAACAACAAGCAGCAGATTGTGCTCCAGAAGGGAACTAACAGTGGAATTACTATTGCCCTGTCCGTCACGTGATGTCAGAAAGAAATAAAATAAAATAAGAGGCCTGTGCTGTGGTCAATACTGTTTCTGTGACCAAAATAACTTCTTTGTACAAACACATAAAAAGCCAGTCTTCAAACCGTAAAGTCAATATATCGATTATTGCGATTAAACCTATCGCACAATGTATGAAAATTACCGCGATCATTTTTGGTGCTGCGATATTAAACGTTATAGTTTCGTCGATCGCGCTGTCCTCCGTCTGCTTTCTTTGTCAAGTGAGGTTTAGGAAGCCACACACACACACACACACACACACACAAAGGGGAAGAGAGGACGAGAACCCACTGTGTTATGAAGTGTTCTTATTTGTGACATCTACAGTCGAGCCAATCAGGACAAACAAGCCCAAATGGACTTGGTTACGAAGCCGCAATCTTCAGCTCCGCTGTGGGAAACATTTTGGCTTCAAGCCGAACGAGAGAAGAGAGCGAATAGACCTGAACGAGCCGGTATGTCGTAAAACAGTGGCACTGAAAAGAGGCAACACAACTAACCTAAAATCTCACCTGAAACACAATTTGTAATTTGTAATTTGTAAAAAAGTGTTCGGTCGAACAGACGTCTCTGCCTCATGTGAGTCACAACAACTGCTGCTGTTTCCTCTACGTCGACTCTTTTAAAAAAAGATTTGCTCCGTGCGCATCTCGCAACTCATTGAGGATGTAATAATCGCGTGACACAACAAATCGATCGTTGCCGACACTTTTGATAATCGATTTTTTCCGATTTCATCAATTCGTTGTTGCAGCCCTGCTTTATTTACTATATATTTCTCCACATTACGATTCTACTATCTGAAGGATCAAACGTTCTTTGAAAGAGCGTACTTGTATTATTATGCTATTATATTGTCATTATGTAATCAGTGGCATAAAATGGTCTGAAAATTGAAATAATATCGTTTCAACTAAAATTTGATATCGCGACAGCTCTAACTGTACTTCCACCTCCATCTTTGAGAACGAGGCACTGCGAGCTGGAAGCTTGGGTAAAAGAAACACATATAAGTGTGGAGATTTCAAAACGCGAGCCTACCAGACCTTTGCAACCAGCCTTTGGAGGCCACATTAGCGACAACGAGCATAACACAGCTAAACCTGACCGCCGCAACGCATTGTGGCTAACGAAGAGGCCACACTCCGTCTCTCCCCGCACCCTGAAGCATTGTGCCGACCAGCTGTCTGTTCACTGACATCTTCAACACCTCCCTGGAGACATGCCACGTACCAGCCTGCTTCAAGGCCTCCACCATCATCCCTGTTTCCAAGAAGCCCAGGATCACAGGACTCAATGACTACAGGCCCGTCGCCCTGACCTTTGTCGTCATGAAGTCTTTCGAACGGCTAGTCCTGACCCACCTGAAGACCAACAGGCCAACAGGTCTGTGGACGATGCTGTCAACATGGCCCTTCACTACATCCTCCAGCATCTGGACTCCCCGGGAACCTACGCCAGGATCCTGTTTGTGGACTTCAGCTCTGCATTCAATCCGATCATCCCGTCTCTGCTGCAGGACAAACTCGCCCAGCTGCACGTGCCCGACTCCACCTGCAAGTGGATCACAGACTTCCTGTCTGACAGGAAGCGGCACGTGAAGCTGGGGAAACATGTCTCAGCCTCTCGGACCATCAGCACCGGTTTCCCCCAAGGCTGCGTTCTTTCCCCTCTGCTCTTCTACCTGTACACCAACAGCTGCACCTCCAGCCACCAGTTCGTCAAGCTCCTGAAGTTCGCGGATGACACCACCCTCATTGGACTAATCTCTGGTGGGAACGAGTCCGCCTACAGGTGGAGTCTGACCATCTGGTGTCGTGGTGCAGTCAGAACAACCTGGAGCTCAACGCTCTGAAGACAGTGGAGATGGTTGTGGATTTCCGGCGGAACAGAGCCCCACCCTCCCCCATCACCCTGTGTGATTCCCCCGTCACTATTGTGGATTCCTTCCGTTTCCTGGGCTCCATCATCACCCAGGACTTCAAGTGGGAGCTGAACATCAGCTCATCACCAAGAAGGCTCAGCAGAGGTTGTTCTTCCTGAGGCAGCTGAAGAAATTCAACGTGCCAAAGACGATGATGGTCCACTTCTACACGGCCATCATGGAGTCCATCCTCTGCTCCTCCATCACCTTCTGGTACACTGCAGCCACAGCCAAGGACAAGGGCAGGCTGCAGCTTCTCATCCGCTCTGCAGAGAGGGTGATCGGCTGCAATCTGCCGTCCCCGCAGGACTTGTTCGCTTCCAGGACCCTGAAGCAGCTAAAAAGATGGTAGCCGACCCCTCCCACCCCGGACAAAACCTGTTTGTGCCCCTTCCATCTGGCAGGAGGCTGAGGTCCATCAGGACTAAGACCTCCCGCCACACCAACAGTTTCTTCCCGTCGGTAGTCGGGCTCATCAACAGAGCCTGGTCCCCCACTGACTGACTCTGACGTTCCACCGGTAACTTTCTTTCATTCTGCACACGTCACTTTCACTTGTCACATTTCACTCGTTTCACTCGTCACTTTTGTCACTTCCTGTTCGCTGGTGTACTTTATTTTTTCATTTTTAAATGTTTTTATCTTTAACTGTTATTCTTTTTTTTTAAACTAACCCATAGCATTATATTTTATTTTATTCCTCGTGCACTGTGGTCTTGTCGTGCATTGTCGTATCAGTTGCTCGGGTAATAAAGTGACATACAGTACGTTAACCTAGCCAGCTGTTGGTGTCACTCTGTCTCCACTCTCCACGAGTGGTGTTGTCCCACTGATTCGGCATCAGATGGAAGAGACGAAGAGAAGACTTAATCGTCCTCCATTAGGTGAAAGGCGAGACGTAAACCAATGAAGGTGTGCAAACTTGAATGCACAACTTTATGTGCTGATGTACACCACCATCAGCATCTTCTAACGCAGCACTTTGGATCTTCCCAAGTGTCCCAAGAGCAGCCGCTCGTCGTGCTGAGAGGTTGTGTGTGTGTACAAAGCACACATTAGCATGGCGGGCGGCAGACTGATGGTGTACTCAAGTGATCAGAGGCGCTAATAGAATGTGCACGGCTCTGGGGTTACGGCGGGGGAGTGAATGCAGTTGTCGGAGTGCTTGGCACAGTCCTCGGCTCAGCGCCCCGAGCTGGTGCCAGGTTACGTTATCGGCCACAGGCTGATGTGTTTATGCGTCGTCGCTGACACCAAGCAACTTTGGATAAGAATAAACGTAAGCTGGGCAGCAGAGAAAACGTAAACTGTAGTGAAGGGCGACTCAGCCGCTACGTAATTGGTTGCCTAAATGTTCTTATATGAAGAAAAATGTAAAAGTTGAATGTTGAGGAAACGACACAAAATGTCTCCACCGATAATTTCATCCTGGTTTATTTCCATTATCAGGCTAATCGGGAACTTCTTTATGGAAAGAAAGAGCAGAGATACAAAGTAATTGTTTAATTATTCAGTTTGAAGGGCGACCTTATTTTGATTTTATTTAAAATTGTTGGTTTTTCCACAGAAAAGAGGTTTGATTCCACTTTGTTGTTAGAGCCATTTATAGGTTTCAAGCACGTTTTAATGATTATGGAGTTTTTATTTTTATTATTTTTTATTTGCAGTAATTTTGACCAGGATAATCATGACAAGAACTCATGTTGAATATTTCCCATCGATGTCTTGTTGAAGCAAAGACAGGATGTGCAACTGCAATCACAGCAAATGAACTCACCCACTCTTCTCATGTTCCATGACTCATCATTCTCCCCTTAATTACCATATACATAGATACATCATACATAGATATACCCAAGCCGTAACCACGCAGCTAATCCAAAAATCGGCTGCGAGGTGGATAGTCAGCGAAGCGAGTCGGGCCACAGGAGACAGATGGCAGCGAGTGGTACCGACCCACTTCAGCAACGGGGGACGGGCTACGGGTAATAAGTCAGTGGCCGTTGAACACAGGTAATGAAAAAGGGTTCTGAGAAAGTGTGAGTCACCGCAAACAGGAGCGGCCTTTGAGCGTGCGGCCTTCAGCCACAACTGACCCCCCCCCCAGAATACTTCAGTTTGCAGACCAGCTTTGGAGGAAACAACAGAGACAACTGCGGTTTCAGGCTGGGTTTTAGCAGAAATGAGTCCTGTCCCTTCTGGAGGCGTGAGGAAGATATTTAGGGTATAAACACTGCATATTTTGACAGATTTGTTCTCAGCCCTTCACGTTCACACTGCAGGGCTTTTTAGATGTGAGAAACCCAATGAACAGCTCGAGCATTGTTATTATTTTTTATTCCTGGAGACCATTATTACTTTAGTGTGCATCTGGAGAGGATCTGTCTCCTTATTCTGGGTTTTGCATTTGTTTCTTTCCAAGTCGTCCTTTTATCAGTCAATGCGAGTTGATCCATGCTTCAGAGACAGTGTTCATGCGTGTCTATAGCTCAAGTTACCTGTCTGGTGTGTGATTACAGATGCATGACAGCAGTGTGAGATCTGCCGAGGACTCTGCCGGCCAATATAGCTTCTGTGTACGAATTACGTCACTGACATCAGTCCGTCGATGCTGCCAGGACACTGTATCCCGTAGGTGCACGGGGGTGTTTGTAGATTTTTGGCTCTGTGCTCTGGACATCCTTGCCA